TTTCTCCTTGAGGCAAAATTTAAAAAAACAAAATTTTATTGGCTGGGTATTTATGAAAACTGAAATTTAGTTCAAAGGATTTTAGTGCTTTAAAACAAGATAGAATATACAAAGAATGGCAAATGCTAGTACAAATAACCCAGTATAATTTGGGGGCTTTAGTGAATTTTTGTATTTTAATGTTTTTAGAGGAAGCATCACTGATTTTACCTAGGCAGTTCTTCATTATATGCATTCTTTACTCTTCTCCAGCACCCTGGAAATACAGAACTTAAATTACCAATGCCTCTTTAATGAAAGAATGCTTTTAATGCTGTATTCTTGCTCTCTTAATGACACAAAATATAGAGTAACCCTATCCAAATGACTCATGAAGCTATAACCTAAGGCATCACTATTCATCTAGTAATGGTATATGAAACACAATGTGCTAAAGAAAATAGAATTGTCTCACAAATACATATCTAAATTTAGGAACTTCAAAGAGATACATCATATAAATGAATCTTCAAAATAACTGATTATTATCCTTAAAAATTACCATAACTTATCTTTAACAATCCTAATGGACCTAATCTAGGTCTTCCTTCTCAGGCTATATAAGGCAACCTTTTCTAGATGACTAATTATTAACTATTCTATAACACATAATAAAGTGATTCTTCCTGGAGTTACTGGGGAATGTCCAACTTAAGGTTTCATACTAATTCATCTACACTACTATTAAAAATAAATTTCCCTACTGCCTGGCTCCTCTGTTGTCACTTATAGGCCACCAATACTCTGGTTTAGGTTTTTAATGCCAGCTTTAGTTTAAAATATGTAAAACCAGAACAACAGTTGATATCCTCAACCTTATACAAATTCTAAATCAAGCCAAGGTATAGCTATTTACACTGCTCTAAGGCCTGGCTCAAAGGCTTTTTTCTTTTCTTTCTTTCTTTTTTTTTTTTTTAAGATTTACTTATTTATGCATACAAGAAATGAGGTACAGGCTAGCGGTATGGGATGTGGCGGATGAAAGGATTCATTAAAGAGAGTGGAGAGTAGAACAGGTAGATCTACTGAAACACACTTCTGAGAGGAGCAGCAGGTGAGACAGGAGAGGTCTGTCACACCATGTGGGTCACCTCCCTGGCTGGGGATTGAACTCATACAGTGGCTGCAGATTGCTTCACAGTTCTGCACTTAACTTGTTGTGCCACCAGGGAGGGCCCCACAAGGCTTTTTTTCTTTCACTTCCTAGTTCTGAAACCTTAGTATAGTCTGTTACTAGAAGTTTGGCCACAAAATAGCAATTATAATAGTAGTTATTTCTGCATATTTTATTTTTCACTACAACAAAGAGGTTGAAAATGTAAATGACAGTTATAACAAAACATACCAAACCCATCTTATCAAAAAATGATATAAGGCACCTTACATTATATGCTACCTGGACAATTAACTACCCAATTTAATCAACCAAGACTCAGCAAACTAGTCCTGCTGCCCAAATCCATATCACAGTCAGATTGTTTTAGTTTTGTCACTGAGCTAAGACTGGCTTTTATATTTTTAAAAGACTGCAAAAAAAATGAAAAGAATATTCGACAAGTAGCTTTCAAGGTCTAAAATATTTACTCTAGCACTCTATAGAAAAACCTCCTGACCCCTGATCTAAGTAATAATAAACATATGACAAGCAATTCCTTATACATAAAACTTAAATTATGAGTATGTCAAAGCAGATGAAGAGTTTTCAATGATGTTCAAACTGTATTGTCCATCCCCTGCCTATTTCTTTTGACCAATTTCTGAGACTTAGCCAAAAACTACTTGAGGAACTTTTTTCTTCCTCCCTTTCTTCATCCTGATGTGGAATGCTCTATCATTGGTTCACTAGATACAACATCCAGTTCTGGCTGTCAACCTTTTTTGGAATGTCTATCCTTTTGCTATTCAAATCCTTTTTAAGCTTCAAGTCAAACTTCCTAGGCATGCCTTCCAGGATCAGGTTAGCCCTTAGTGTCCTCTCTTAAATTACATCTAAGGCCAAACAATGGAATAATACTGTCTTATATTTTTGTTAATCATTTCCTGTGTGTTGTCCAGTATTCTCAGCTAGTATGCAGCCTACCTGAGAGAAGACACATACATACTGCTTTCGTATCAGTATTCTGAGAATGGCCTTTTATCCTGCATATTTGTTATCTCCCAAGTACATCTCTTTATTCTGGAAGAAAAACACTTAGGATTATTAATGGGGTGATAAGTGGTTGGAAATGTTAAAGGAAACAACCACAAAGGAACTTGATGGAAGACCATAAACCACACTGCAAATTTAGAAAGTATATATGAAAGATAAGCAAAACTAGAGTAATAGGGTTAATAGAGGGGGAAGGATCAAGAAGTACACAAAGAACCACTAAGTCAAGATCTCCAAAATAAAATGAGAACCAAACAGTAAGAAAATTATAAAAGCTAGCAATACAGGCAAAAAACCCTCCAAAATTTGCCTTTCCACACTAATGGTCATTAATTTCCTTTTAATAGGTAACTCTTGACCTTGATATATCGGGAACACATTTTTTGCAATGTGACAAACTGAAGCACTACAAGGGTCAATGGAAATAGATATGTATTCTAAACTTCTGAATTTACATTAATGTGAATTTATTTGAAGTCTGCTAGAGATTACTAGGGAGAAAAAATTTATCTTTTGATTATTTGGGTAAAAAATGGAAAATATTGTATATATTTCTGTATCATTCTCAAAGACACCATTTAGACTAATTTTCATGGGAAAATGTAGCAGAACACTAAAAAAGGTTATTTCATCAACTTGTAATTTTAAAGCATAGGCAATTATATGAAAAAAAAATGTTTAAAAACAGGCCTAAGTATTACCCATAAATGTAAATGAAAAAGGGGCAAATTATAAACTAAATACCCTTTACCAAAGTAAAGCTTCAAAGACAATGAGATTATTAATGCATTCCTCCAGACCCACCTCTCCCCTCCCTCCTCCCCCCCCTTTTCCATGGGTTTGAGAGTCCTGACCTATGCTTGACTGGTCAAAGGAGGAGGAGACTTTTTAATTAGTAATAAGACATGCTCAATATTACACGTAGAAATGTTACAATTAAAAAGTAAGTGCACAGTAGGATAAAATAAGTGACCTCTTCCTTACTTACATGTACAGGGGAAAGTGATAACAATGACGACAATAAAAGATAATTCTAGAATCTGTTTACTTCTAATGCATACTGTTAAAATTGGGAGACAAAAATTACCCTTACATTATGTTTGCTTTAGATCAGTGTCATCTATACATTAATTTTCCCTGAACATTCAATGGTTTAAGGATTCAGACAATGGGGAAAAGGAGGACTGAATTCAGAAGCACACAGGTGGCTAAAGGCAAGCAGGCTGGGATAAAAATAATTTTGGTTAACCTACACAAGAAAACTGTAAGATGATCTACAAAAGGAAAGAAGAAAATATAGTAAAATATACTGGGCTAATGCAATTAATACAAAGTTTTAAATAAAAATTTTCACAAGATTTTTCTCCCTATCATCATTTTTTCTTCTTAGTAATTGGTGTTTATTAGAGATGGCAAAACTTATCAGAGAACTAAAAAACTGAAAGCAAAAATCTTAGGTTTTACATCAAAAAGGATATGTTAAAATTCATGTTATCATCCTTTTCTGTGAAGTTCACCATGTCTCTATGGGCATTCTAGCTCACTACTTGAGAAAAATCAATCCAACAGAGAAAATAACAAAAGGCAGGGGATTCATTTTGTTGAAATTTTCAGATGACTTAAAACTTACACGATGGCAAGAATTAGATTTAACATATACACAAAAACTAAATATCCAAATTCGAGATCAGAGTAACAAAATTCAATTAGTTTCTGCCTAACATATGGTTCCAACTCCTCAGTGGCATATGTTTAACGCTAATGTTGGCAATGGCATAGTGATAAGACATGACAGCAGTTCAACTTCGGCTATTTCATTCTTAAAATTTAGAAGACATACACCAACTACAGTTTCAAGAACTGAAAGCACAGACCAGTCAGTAAGAAGCAAAATTAATGACGCTGCTCAGTTTTAAAAGTCCACAATGAACACAAACACAGACGTGTCCACAGAAACTGGCATAAAATTTCACAGAGAAAAATGTCTAAAATCATGATTCTAACACCTCCGGCAACCATTACACACCCCTACCCTCCCACCCCAAAGGTTTTTAATGCTGTTTCATTTAAAAAGAAAAAAAAATTAACGGCTGCATTCATTAAAACAGTCACCATTCAGCTGGAGATTTTATGACTGAATTATTTGATTATTTTCTTTTACCTAACGCATGACGTCCTTGCACAGCACAGCGTCAAAAGTTCAAAGATCCAGGTTGTTAAACCGAGCGAGGACCGCAGCCTCCAGTCACCCTCCCGACCGAACAGGTGGTTACCACGGCCCGGCAGAGAATGACCAGGTAACTGGCACCAGTCAAACAGGATCAAACACACAGGGCGGGTTTTCGAGGTTTTAACCCCAAGATGAGCGGGAGAAACTCTCGTCAGAAAAGCGTTCAAGTTCGCCGGCTGCCCGGCGGCCGAAGCCGAAAGCCCCGCAGCCGCTCGGCGACGCTCTCTGCGCTCAAGCTCTGACCCTACAGAACTGCGCTACCCGCCTCAGGTCCACCAGGCGGCGAAAGGCCGCCCGCGCCGCCGCCTCGGGCTGACGGCCCGGCCGTCGCCGCCCCCGCAACGCCCCCCGCCCGACTCTGGCTCCGCAGGTGCCGGACAGGCGGACGGTCCGGTCCCCGGCCCAGCACCCCGCGGCCCTCGGCGCGCCCACGGGACGGGGTGGGATGGGCCCCTCGACGGGCCCGAGCCCCATTCCGCGCCCCAGCCCCGCAGACCGGGTCTAACGGTTTCCGCGGTGTCTGCTCCGGGGCGGGACCGGCTCGGGGTCCCCACTTCTCCCGAAGGGAGGGCCCGCGCTCACCTCCGAGTCACGCCGCTTTGAGGCAGAGGAGGGCGGCTGCTCTGGCGCCTCTTCGGGTTCCTGATCGTTCTCGTCCTCCCTCGGGGGCCGAGCCAGCTCTCGAGGCAGCTGCGGTCTCCGGCGCGCTGGCTATCGGGGTGGTTTCCCGGCTGTGACGGCGTCGCCTCAGCCCCGCTCCTCGCTCCCTCTACGCGCAGCTCCCGCTTTCTGTTTCACCCGAGGGACTACAAATGCTGCTGCCGCCATGCTTACTACGAAGCCGGGAGGAGGAGCCGGGAGTCGGCGCGCCGAGTGCGGCTGCGCAAGCCCCGCCGACGGCGCCCCCGGCCGGCTGGACCCCGCACCCCAGCCCCTGCGTGCGTGGCCGCCTCCGGGCGGCTTTCTTCGCGGAGCGGGAGTCTCCCCCGCGCCTCCGGTGTGTGGCGTCCCAGCTCCCCCGCCCGGCTTCCGGGGTGCCCACAACCCTCCCGGGACTCCCAGCTCTCTCCCGAGGCCCGTTTGCGCCTGGCTGACCGCAGCGTCCACCGCGGCCCGGCCACCAGCGGCACTAGGGCAACGTGGAGTTAATTGACATTCCAGGGGACACTCACACAATTCTCAGTCTAAATTGTATTCCCCCAATGAGGCACGGAGTCAGTTTCAAAGCACAAAACTTAAAGCCGACAGGTGCTCTTAAAGACACTCCCCCCAAGGAATAGCAAATCTGCCTAAATGGGCTTGGATGTTTCCAATCCCAAACACTTACAGCCTGACTCTCTAGAACAGGTAAAAATACATATTTACTTCAGTTGAAAGCGTGGGGGGTTAGTTTCTGGGTCTTTTCTCCCCGCGTACCTCCTGGAAACCCACTATCTTAACAGGCACGAAGACTTACAAGTGAACACAGCCGAGATTTCCTTAAACCTCCAGTAATTGGGGGCGCTGCAATAATACCCGAGGGTTTGCTTGCTTTTGCAATTTCCACTGGAGGACTTTGGGGACGGGTAATTTTTGGGGGAGGTCCAACCTCAATAACTACTGTCCTTTTCAAAAAGACATGGATGTAACGAGGCTTCGTGTTCTGACTTTTCCACCAAACTATTAATTGTGCTGCCTTTAAAAACAGCAGTGTTTTAATTTAAACCTTTTTGCTGAACTCTTTTTTAAAAATGTGCTTATTCCCTACATTCTTAAAGAATACAATGGTTAATGAAATCTTTTGTTGATGACTGACCATCAAAAATGATACCTAGCCATATGCTGAAATCCCAGGGGATTGCTGAGGCATACAGAATCCCTATTTGAGGGCTTTTTTTCTTTGGAATGTTCTCATCACCTTTTCTAATACCTGTCATTGCTTCTCATCTACTCACCTACCACTCTGTGCCTTCCTTGCATCCTTTCTACTTCACCGTTTATTTTTTTACTTTTCTGCTTTGCCGCACTGCATTGCTCTGTGACTCCAGGTGATGACTGATTGGCTGTTCATGTCCCCGGCTAGCTAATGAGAGATTCCTTTTCTTCCCGTCAGTAACAGGACAGCCACGCTATATAAAAAGTAGTATTTTGAGATATTGCTCTTCACAATCAAAAGTTCTTTTTCTGGGGGAGGCGTTTCTATTCCTTGACTCCCAGATTTGGCCCTCTTCCATACAAAATTGCTAGAAAGCTGATCTCCAAATAACTGAAGCATAACAGTATATTGTTTTAAAATAAGAGCATTTCGCAGAATGTGGATGAGTTGGGTGACTTCTCCATGTTGCTGCCCCATTTCTGTTTGGTTTGAGACTAAGCTAGTAGTTTCCAAATCTGACTCTAAAGTAGTAATTTCCAAACTTTCACTTGGGAACTTTAACGAAGGACAGAATGTTGCAATCCACTCCTCAAGATTTGGATTGGTTCATGGGATGGGGAGAACACTCATAAAATGACAGTTAAAAAAAACTATTTATTAAAAGTATGTTTTGGGTATACCTCTGGGTATAGGCACATCAAGGAAGAACAGCTATTTTCAAGGAGATTAAGGCTGCATAATTCAGGAAGATCACTGAAGTAGACCTAGAGATTTTTATGAAAAACATGCAGTGCTGCAAGAGTGTGTCAGGTGAGGACTGGGGATTTCTGACTTATGGAGAGAATGAAGCACAGTCACAAATAACCCTAGCATGGGCATTTAGAGAAGGACAAGAGGTTAAAAAAAAAAAAGGGGGGGGGGAAACAAGTCACTTTTCAGTACTTCATTTTTTCCTATCGATAACATAAGGAATATTGTTTTTTTAAAGATTTACTTATTTATGCACACAGAAATGCAGTACAAGCCATCTCACTTCAGGGGCAGTGAGAGGATTCCCCAGAGACAGAGTCGTGTGCAGAACAAGCAGATCTACGAAATACTCTGCTGAGGGGAGCAGCAGGCATCGGGAAAGGTCTGCGGTGCCACGTGGATAAGCTCCCTGGCAGGGGATCGAACTTGTGCTGCAGTGACTTGGGAGAGCTTCATAGTGCTGCACTTTAACCCACTCTGCCACCAGGGAGGGCCACATAAAGATTATTTTTAACCCTCATATTTCTTGATTTCTCAACAATTCTCCATATAATCAGCATTTATTCTTCCTTGAATACATTTTCCTTTGACATAACGTATTCTGAGATCATGTCAGTGGATGCTTAAAACTGCAGATAGTACTAAAGTTATGTATAGTTTTTTCTTATATAGCATACCTATGCTAAAATTAAAATTAGGCATAGTAGGAGATGAACAAAAATAGCCAGAACAATTATGATAATATGCTATTAAAGCAAGTTAATTTGAATATGATCTCTCAATCTCTGCCTTTCTCAAAAATATCTTAGTGTAAGTAATATTTTTGCACCGCAATTGCCATTGGTAACGAAAACCACAGAAAATGAAGCCATGGATAAGAAGGGGCTATTTTATACTCTCTTGGATTTCTTCCTGCATATCTGGCTTCTGCTTCTCTGATTCCTTTTCCAGATTCCATTCCCCCCCCCCCCAGTTATTAAGTATCATAGTACTTCACAATTCAGTTTAGGTTTTTTTCTGTTTTCATTATAATCTCTTGTCCTAAACATCATCACCCATTCCAAAGGCTTAAATTATATATATTTAGATGTTGATGGTTCCCATATATGTGTTTCTAACCCAGACCTTCCCCCTAAATTCGAAGTCTGACACCAATTGTTTCACTGATATATTCACTGAATCTCTCCAAGTTACAAGACTTGGTCTAATGGAAATCATGAACTGTTGTTTCCTTTCCCCTCATCTATCCAATTGTTCAAATCAAACATACAGTATTCACTCCTGACATCTCCCTCACATTTCATATTTGTTGCAGCACCTAGTACTGGCAATATTATCTTTTGAATCTCTCAAATTGGACTACTTTATTTCCAATTGCCACCATTCTAATCTGATCAGTGCATATAATATATGCCCCGCCATTTATCTTCTAATTTACAGGTAAAATAATCTTCTGAAGACAAATAAGACTATATGTAGAATAAGACTAGAATTCTTTAGTGTCCTAATAGATTAGATGAGGTTTTGCCTTTTCTTGTGTCATCTCACACCAGTTTCTCCTTGTCTTTTTTTCTCAAATGTGCTCTCTCTTCTCATGCCCTTGTGTCTTTTAACTATCATAACTCTTGTGAAGTTAGGAAAAGCATTTTGGACTTCCTAGACAAGTTTAAAAACTCTTGTTGATGTCAACTCTCCTACGATCAAGTACTTTCTATGGCTAACCACACTCTATAGCTTATAACACTTTTGTATATATGAATGCGAGGTTAATGTTTGCTGTTCCTTTTATGAGAAAAAGGCCTATGCCTATTTTTGCTTACACCATGCCTGGTATGTACTAGGTGCCCAATAAATACTTCTTGAATGACTGAATGTTGTCCTTTGGTGTCACTCCCACAATTCCAGAAGGTTGTGAAGCATGTAACTAAAAAATTACAGATTACTTTAGAGAGAGCAAACTTTTACAGTTAGTGAGATTCAGAAATTGTTGGAGGTAATTCTTCTCAGAAGAGCCATATTCTATATGTATTGTGTGTAGATGCACTCACTAGCAGTTTTTGTTCTAGACTATTCTTCACTGAATGTTTGTATGTTGGATATCCCTGGAAGATAATGTCTCTTAACAGAGCAGAGACCATATTGTTGACCATCCATTACAATAATATCTTTTTCTGTGGCTGAGGTCAAGCAGGACTACTTACAATCCATTATAAAAAAAATAGGAGTTTCCTAAGCTTGGGGTTCCTTAGCTGTGACTCAAGACTACTGCTGGCGCAAGTCCTTCCTGGGCTGCTTCATGATCTCCTGAGTAATACCTGCCAGACAAGGAAACTACTGAGACTATGAAGCTGATGCTGCTTGTGTAATGTAGTCCTTTGACCCAGAAAATTCAAGTCTGCTGCCAGCATCCAGGAAAATGAAGTAGACAGTGTTATTTTTTAACTTGCAAGGATCATAGAACTTCCACAACTCTTGACAAGACACAGCGAGTTGAAGAGAGAGAAGGAGATGAAGAAGTCAAATAGCAAGTTGAGATGTGTTCTTTAAGATGTTCATTGGAAAAGAAAATAGCAAGGAAAGGAGATGTGAAAGCAGATCAAGGCTGGAGAGTTGTCCTGACTAAATTTTCTGAATAACATTGGGGGTCTAAACTCTAAGCGGAGGTAGAAAAGGGCATTTTCTTTGAATGGGAAACCCACACAAGTCTGGAAGAGGAGAGGGAGGTCATGAAAACTGTTGGCTTGGAGGTAAGCAGTTACAGATGCCAGAAGCTTTTTGTGTGGCTCTGAGAAGGAGTGTGGAAAGTGACAGGGTCCTGAGGCATGAAAATCTGATCTTGGACCTCAGTTTATTACCAAATGATTGATGTTACCTTCTGAGTCTCAGTTCTTGTAAACTAAGGATAAAATGCCTACTTTCTGAGATTAAATAACATAATGCATGAAATACACATAACACATGGCTCACACCAATAAAACAATGATAACTATAGTAGTAGGATGTCTTGGGTAATTGCTATCTTGGTGGTTAGGAAAATCCAGATCCTTCCTCAGTAGTTTGGGAAGGCACTTGGTCAGGGTCAACTATTGCTCCAAATTCTTGATCCTGTTGCACTCTCTATCCCTCACTGTTCTTTCCAACCATGTTTTACTCTATGGATGAACAATTCCTTCCATAAAAATGAATAAACAAAGCATAAAATATAAAGCAACTTGACAATGAA